AAGCTCGTATTAAAACCTATATTAAAATCGTATTAAAACCTATATTAAAATAGTATTAAAACCTATATTAAAATCGTATTAAAACCTATATTAAGATCGTATTAAAACCTATATTAAAATAGTATTAAAACCTATATTAAAATCGTATTAAAGCCTATGTTAAAATAGTATTAAAACCTATATTAAGATCGTGTTAAAACCTATATAAAGATCGTATTAAAACCTATATTAAAATAGTATTAAAACCTATATTAAAATAGTATTAAAACCTATATTAAGATCGTATTAAAACCCATATTAAAATCGTATTAAAACCTATATTAAAATAGTATTAAAACTTATATTAAGATCGTATTAAAACCTATGTTAAGATCGTATTAAAACCTATATTAAGATTGTATTAAAACCTACATTAAAATCGTATTAAAACCTATATTAAAATTGTAATATTGTAATTATTTATTATTAGTTACATTGTCTTCAAAGACAGATGGCCCAGTAGATAAAAGAATTGGATCCAATGACTTGACCAAAAGAGGTGTGAGTTCAATACCTGGCTACGGCAGTGGTAAACAAAAACTTGGCGATAACTGAAACATCCGGAAGAGGCATGGCACGTGGAACTAGAACAATATGCCGCGGTGGACGAAATAAAGAGGTTAGTTCGAAATTCCAGTTACCTAAGCGCACAACGGCCGAAACGTCGGGAACATAACAATAAAGATAAGGAGAACAGTCCGAAAAATGCAAATAGGATTAATTTATTGGTTCTTTTTCTACGGCTTATCAACCATTGCCGGTTATTTAAAGCCAGAAAATATGTTTCAGATTGTAATAACATCTTACAGATAGTAATGATATGTCTTACTAATTAACCCATAGCTGGGAGAGAAAAGGTGGAGTCATAAGTCCCTCAGGGGTATTTGTGCGCAAGCGAGTATGTATATATATATGAACCTGACTTGGGAACCTCGAGGTAGTGTAACGGTTAAGCAAGCTTGTCTCGCTAGAACCATTACGATTGAGTAGTGAGTTCAATCCTCACTGGGTGCCCCGTATTTTGGCCTTGTGCATGTCTCTGTGTGTTTGTGATTTCCACCCAGTTTTACTAAAATTAAATTTCTCTTTGGTGGTCGCTTTTAGCTTTCTCGTCAAATTCTAGTTAACCATTCCAAAATCTCCCTTTATCTGGCCGGGGGGAATAAAAATCTCTTCCAGCGAAATCTGAACTCAATGATGGGGAGCGGACATTCCTTGCCTTGGGTCGTTTTTTTTTTTTTTTTTTTTTTTTGTTTTGTTTTTTGTCGCTCTGATGGGAGAGCAGAATAAAGCCGTTTAAATGTCTCTTTATTATTGTTTTTATATATTTCGGTATTGCCAGCAGCAGCTAAGAAAATAGCGCGTTTCTGTTCCCATAAACCAAGAAAAATGCCGAAGTATGACGGCTAAGCCCTTAAAAATAAAATGGTAAATTTAGAATTCAGTAATAAATTGAGTCCAAATCGATATAAAAAATTCTTGATCAAAAGAGGAATCAAATAATATTATCATATCTTCATTAGCTGAACTATGTGAGACCATTCCAAGAAACCTACAAGGAAAATGGTACACTCACGGAACGACAATGCTAAGTTGAAAAAAAAACTGTTATAAGAAAGACACAAAAAGAAGAGGAAAAGTGAAAGGGAAAATAGTAAACAATTAACAGAAAATAAAACAAACAGTTAATTCTGTATCTCTGGAAAATTGCGAATAAAATATTAATGAAGCTAAGCAGCATAAGTAATGTCTTAAAATGTGAAATGTGAAAATCATAATAATATCATAGAATCAAAATCACAGCAGAAGAAATGGCCTAGTCTCAAAAAACACTTTCAATCCCATTTCAACCCTGATCACACAAACTTAAGCCCGCATAAATAGAACATATGTAAATATACATCTAATCATTACAAAGTCCGTCTCCAAACAAACAATGAATATACTGGTGAGGAAATTAAGGAAGCTGTCAAAAAACTAAGGAATAATAATGAATTACTTGACATTGAGACTGGAACTTTAAAAATAACTTACTTTCTCCCCGAATTCAATACCACGCTTCTCTATTCAGAAATTCATCCCCAAAACGTGGAGTCTATCACGCATGCGTTATGGAAACGATAGTCCTCAAAACACTCGCACATACAGAGGGATCCGTTATGGTTAAATTATTAATGAACATTATATTACCTAAGTTCTTACGGTTCCATGAAAGTCAGTTCCTCACAAACAAGTTTGGTTTTTGTATGGTGTATATGTAATCAAATAAATCCATGAATTTGCTTACCTCTCTAATAGGAAACTGTACACCTGCCTTTTCGACCTCAGAGCAGCAGGGGACCACATCAATAGATACATCCTTCTTCTCATCCATTAAAAAGCACGTTCCAACTTCCGAATCCACTGATCTAATAAAATCCGTATGGCGAGGACCCCTATAAAGCAATATTTCAAGGAGGTATTGAGAGCCTTAATTTATTTAATCTCTTCCTAGACTATGTCTTACGCATTTACAAACATATATGTGAGGAGATGGGCACTGACAATTTAAACATTCCATACCACATTCCAAAAGAGTTCACTAGAAGACAACGAATCTGCCATCTTTCCATCCCATGGCCAATGTACTGATGATTATGGAGGTTACACGCATGACATAGATGTTCATAGTTGAGATCTAAATGATCTTGAACAGAAAAGCAACACCATCTACGAAGATAAAGCTTTCCAAAAACAGAAACCATGGTCTAGGATTGGAATGAAAGCAATGATAGCACATGCCCTGAATCCACTTCAAATATCTCAGGGTATGGATCAGTTATAACAAATTTAATATAGGGGAAAGGAAACTGAACTTAGAATTGGCTGCGCCAGAGCTAGTTTCAACCAACCCAGCAAATTGCTTCAAACATCAACTAGAAAAGTCGAGACATGTTTTTAAATAACATCGTCAGATCGACTTTTATATGGATGCGATGCATGGAATCTAAATTTCGTTCTGAAATATCTAAACTATCAGCGACATACAAATGTTTTCTAAAATCAAGGCTAAACTGGCTTTGAAGCCTAAGTGTCTTGGAGAAGATCACCCTTCTCTGAATATTGTGAACTGTCGCTGCAGATTGGTTTTGGTTTGTTTTAAGGCATATCAACCTCAATGAGTTATTTAATGCCGACAAGATATTTATTGCTAGTTTGGTTTGCTTTGTTTTGTTTTACGGCATATCAACCTCAATGGGTTATTTAATGCCGACAAGATATTTATTGCTGGTTTGGTTTGCTTTGTTTTGTTTTACGGCATATCAACCTCAATGGGTTATTTAATGCCGACAAAAATTTTATTGTTGGTAATATTTTGTTTTGTCAAAAATCTATTTCTGGTAATAATTTTTTCTTTTAAAAAAGTATTGCTGCTAATATTATTTTTCCTCAGAAATGTATAGCTGGTAATATTTTTTTCCAAAAATGTATTGCTGGTAGTATTTCTTTTTCAAAAACATATTGTTGATAATATTTTTTTTTCAAAAATGTATTGCTGGTAATAGATTTTTTTCTTCAAAGATTTATTGCTGATAATAATTTTTTACAAATTATTTCTTGTATTAATACCTATTTTTAAACTTTCATAGTATTCTTAGCCCAGTTTCGGGGTTAACTATTTGCCCATAGCTGGGACCCTAACAGGTGCTACCACCACGGGTCACGGTGGACCTGGGAACACCAGCAATTAAGAGGTGATTCCACGCTCCGCAAAACCTCCTGAGTAGAGGCCTTGCTGCTGGGTGTATTTTATCGTAATACCCAGAACGCCCGTTGCTGCAGAATCACTAAGAACTATACCAAATAGCAACACTTCAGGACTATCAACATCAGCAACAACTAAAATAACTAGCACATGGAAGTCAAAGAGAAAATAATGATCAGAATGTTGATATTCTATACCGCTTCAAATAAAATATTAGGAAAGAAATACCCATCAGTTATGGAAACAACGATAACGGCTACGAGATTTGAGAAAATTATTTTTCTGAAAATTTTTTTTAAGAGAAAGATTTTATAAATTTCAACCGAATACAGTACTGGCTGCTAGGTCAATGAATGCAAAATGTTTCCTTATAGGGAAATAGCCAATATTACCATTGCATTTAGAGATGATGGAAAACAAATACAATACTTTGAACACAGCTTGATGAACAGTGAGTTAAGAAATGCATAACGAGAATACCACTGGCGATTCTGTCGATGAATGCCAAATGTTTCCTTATAGGGAAACATCTAATATTACCATTGCATTTAGAGATGAGGAGAACAGATGCTACACTTTGATCCCATCTTGATGACCAGGGAGGGAAGAAATACGTAAATACTGGCTGGTCGGTTGATGTATGCCAAATGTTTCCTTATAGGGAAACGGCTATTATTACCTTTAACAAGTCCATTCTAAGTTAATATATATTTTGTTACACCCTCTTCTTATTTTGTATGAATTGTCTTTTAATATGTGGCTTTTAACGCACGAATATTCTCGAGATATTCAAAATATCTGGACATTGTCCGTATAGACGGCTTACTTTCCCTCTCTAATTGATTAAAACAAAAACAAAAAAAAACAAGTTGCCATTCTTGTGCGATAGAAGATCACCTTTTGTTGCGACTAAACATCGAATGCAGAAATGTGACGTTATGTCGATGTCAAACTCAATTTTGAAGATAATTGGCGAGTGGTATAAAATATTTCTTTTTCATTTTAATGTTCTCGCGGACTGCAAACGTTTTGCCATATTGCAATATTCTTTATAGTCTTTCAGTTGGTCTTCTTTGGGGAATCTTCCATTGAAAGAGATGCATTCGCCAAAAAGAATCCAGAAGCTGAAATACTTCATCGTTACAGCTTTGCTTCTTCGACTCGTCTTAGCAACGAAGGAAAGAAAAAAAAATCAACTGCATGAGTGCATTATTAATCAAATGTACAATGACTGTACAATCACGCGTATACGCACATATTTGGTTAGAGGCGAATAAAGAAGCAGATAGATAGATAGATAGATAGATAGATAGATAGATAGATAGATATGAACAGAATGAGATAGATATGAACAGACTGAAATAGATAGATAGATAGATACGTACAGACTGACATAGATAGATAGATAGATAGATAGATAGATAGATAGATAGATAGATAGATAGATATGAACAGAATGAGAAAGATATGAACAGACTGAACTAGATAGATAGATAGATAGATAGATAGATAGATAGATACGTACAGACTGACATATATATATATAGAGATAGATGAGATAGATAGATAGATAGATAGATAGATAGATAGATAGATAGATATGAACAGAATGAAAGATATGAATAGACTGAACTAGATAGATAGATAGATAGATAGATAGATAGCTAGATAGATAGATAGATAGATAGATAGATAGAGAGATAGATCGATACGAACAGAAATAGAAGATAGATAGATAGATAGATAGATAGATAGATGAATATGAACAGAATAATAGAAATGAACAGACTGAATAGATAGATAGATAGATAGATAGATAGATAGAAGATAGATAGATGAAAAGACTGAGATAGATAGATAGATAGATAGATAGATAGATAGATAGATAGATAGATATGAACAGACTGAAATAGATAGATAGATAGATAGATAGATAGATAGATAGATAGATAGATATGAACAGAATAAGATAGATATGAACAGACTGAACTAGATAGATAGATAGATAGATAGATAGATAGATAGATAGATAGATAGATAGATAGATTGCGTACCTTATAGCTATGAACAGATGCATAAAATAGTCAGACAGACGGATGTAAAAATTGCTATAAAATTGCAGTAAAATGACTTTCACAAAGGAATACAAAGCTGAATCGAACATGGGTTTCCCTATTTTCTCTCGGTGTGTATTTAATTAATCTAGAAATATTCAGCTAGTCCTGTGGAATCATTGAATCTCTTGAGAAAGGAATAATTTGGTCAGTCTATTCAAGTTCCATGAACATTTTGAGACAAGTATCAGACAACCTCGAGGTATCGAATTTTCTTTAATATTAATATGTGTGTCACTCGCTGTTTGTGCTTTTGTGTGTGTGTGTGTGTGTGTGTGTGTGTGTGTGTGTGTGTGTGTGTGTGTGTGTGTGTGTGTGTTGGAATTACAAATATTTCGCAACGCGGGAAAAATGATGACTCGATAAAACATGTAGGCCAATCCTTTGCCAAAAAATGAAAAGAATATTCTTTTTAAGTTTCTACATGAATTACGAAGTACATCTGACAAGTGCACACCTTCTTTGATGTCACTAGTCTTTTTAAACATCCGACTGTTTGTTCGCCAGAGTCGAAAAAATGAAAGAAAACAAAAACTAGTTCAGGCCATCAAAAAATCAAGGTAAACATGCGTGTCTGTTGTTATTATAATAATAATAATAATAATAATAATAATAATAATAATAATAATAAGAAGAAGAAGAAGAAGAAGAAGAAGAAGCAAATGCAATGTACCAAATGCAGAAATGATGGCAAGATAAACCTCTTCATGGCCAATATTCTGTCCGTACCCCCCAAAAAATACGTAAATAAAACCTGTATCCATCAGTGGTTACGTAGTGCAAGGTTAAAAGTTTTATTCTTTCTGCACAGGACCCAGTCAGGGTATGACTATAAACTACATCCGCTTCCTGGGTAAGACGATAAACTACATCCGCGTCCTGGGTAAGACGATAAACTATGTCCAACAGCAAGGTCTCTGATCTGGAGGTTTTGAGGAGCGTGGATCCAACTCTTAATTGATGGTGTTCCCAGATCCACCCTTAATCCGGGATGGTAGCACAACTTAGGGTCCCAGCTATAGATAAATAATTAACACCCAAACTAAGGGTCAAAACATTATAAAAGTTTAAAAATAGATTTTAATATCAGAATTATTTTGTAAAAAGATATTACCAGCATTACATTTTTGAAAAAAAATATTACCAGTTATACTTTTATAAAAATATTTCTAGCGAATCATTTTTGAAAAATGATATTATAAGCAATAGAAATCTTTTCGGCATTGAATAACCCATTGAGGTTGATATGCCGTAAAACAAAACAAACCAAACCAAGCCAGCAATAAAAATCTTGTTAGCATTAAATGACCCATTGAGGTTGATATGCCGTAAAACAAAACAAAACAAAACAAACCAGCAATAAAAATCATGTTGGCATTAAATAACCCATTGAGGTTGATATGCCGTTAAACATAGCAAAACAAAACAAACCAAACCAGCAATAAAAATCTTGTTGGCATTAAATGACCCATTGAAGTCGATATGCCGTAAAAGAAACCAAACCAAACGAGCAGTAAAAATCCTGTTGGCATTAAATGACCCATTGAGGTTGATATGCCGTTAAACAAAACAAAACAAAACCAGCAATAAAAATCTTGTTGGAATTAAATGACCCATTGGAGTTGATATGCCGTAAAACAAAAAGCAAAGCAAACCAGCAATGAAAATTTTGTCGGCATTAAATAACTCATTGAGATTGATATGCCGTAAAATAAAACAAACCTAACCAAACCAGGAATAAAAATCTTGTCGGCATTAAATAACCCATTGAGGTCGATATGCCGTTAAGCAAAACAAGGCAAACCAAACCAGCGATAAAAATCTTGTCAGTATAAAAAACCCATTGAGGTTGATATGACGTAAAACAAAAAAGCAAACCAAACCAAACTACTCAGCACAAATGCTTGCTAAGTAATAATTACAAATATCTTATACTGAAAAATTATGTTAGCCTAAATGCAGCTTCTGATAAATATCCAGAAACAATTGACCATTTTGTAACTGATTGCAATGTGTTAGCACCAACTGAATATAAAATTGGCATGATAGAATGTGTCAATATCTGCATTGGAAAATATGCGGCTTGTACTGAAATGAAACTGCAAAAACACTGGTATGAACATCGCCCATCAGACTCGGTTGCGGAGATAGGATTTGAAACAATTTTATGGAACTTTAAAATACACACAGACAAATCAATCAAAGCTAATCGCCGAGACATCGTGATCCGAGATAACAAAGACTGAATGTGCCTTCTTATTGACATTGGAGTTCCTCTTGATTGTATCTTTGAAGATCTTCCAAAAACTATGAAAGTTCTGTGATCATGAAATGAAAATCTAAAAAATATATGACACATGAAGAGAACAATAATTCCAGTTGTAGTCCCCGGATTGATTTGGAAAATGGTTCTAATAGACTCATTGAAGGAATTCCTGGTAGCTCATGCCTTACAGAAATAAAAAAGAATTGTACTCACAAGTACACCTCACACAATACGAAGAGAGAAATCTACTTAAGATTTGTGTGATCTCAGGTTTTAGCCGTTTTTTTTTTTGTTTTGTTTTGGGTTTTTTTTACAAGAAATTCTCAGTGGAAAATGTCATGATGTCATTTCTAACATTAGGCCCCTTTGTTTGACCTGGAAGGAAATGATTATAGAAAAGAAAACAAAGGAAATAATGAAATAGAGTAATAATAATAATAATAATAATAATAATAATAATAATCGGCATACCTCTAAAAAGAGAAAGAAGAAGTCAAGAAAACATCGAGGAGAAGAAGAGAAGATAAAAATACGTGTAAAAAAATGAAATAAATTAAAAAAAAAGAAAAGCAGTAGTAGTAGTAGGAGGAGGAGGAGGAATGGGAGAAGAAGAAGAAGAAGAAGAAGAAGAAGAAGAAGAAGAAGAAGAAGAAGAAGAAAGGAATAACAATAATGACAATAACAATAAGGAGAAAATAATAATAATAATAATAATAATAATAAGAAGAAGAAGAAGAAGAAGAAGAAGAAGAAGGATAACTGCTAATAACTGTAAAGAAAGAAAAAGAAGTATTCAAGAAAACCTTCAGAAGAAGCGGAGATTAACAGAAAAAAGGTAAAAGGTAAAGAGAGAAAATGTAAAAAAAAATGAGAACAGAAGAAGAAGAGAAAAATACGTAAAAAGAAGAAGAAAAGAAATAGTAGTAGTAGTAGTAGTAGACATAGAAGAGGAAGTAGGATCATTGTTAATAAATGTAAAGAAAGAGAAAGAAGGATTCAAGAAATCGTTGAGATAAAGCCGACATTAAGAGAAAAACAGGAAAAAAGAAACAAAATGGAATCAATTAGAAGAAGAAGAAGAAGAAGAAGAAGAAGAAGAAGAAGAAGAAGAAGAAGAAGAAGAAAAAGTAGCGGAGAAGAAGAGAAAAATACCGTTAAAAAAAGGAAAGAAAATGGAAAAAAATTAGAAAGATCATCTATGCTATAAACGACCCCTTACATATATACGTATGTCCTTTATGTAAATCAAATATTCTGCACCAATCTTGATGAAACTTTCACAAGAGGATAAGTCTGAACCTAGATTAGCTTTTAGGCTATTAATATATGGAGAAGGTGATATGGTGTGCTCCCTGGGGATTAAAAATGGATTTTATATGCTGTAATTTTTATTCACGCTGAGTTATTTTGAAAAGTGTCATTAAAAGAATTGTAGAGAATCCAATAGCATAATCATTGCACATATTTTCTTTTAGAAAGGTGCAATGGCGCACCTACTAGGGGCCAAAAATAGGGTCTTTATGTAGTAAAAGATTTTCACATTGGCTTATTTTGAAAAGTCTCATTAATAAAACTTGTGAAGAATCAAAAAGAATTTTAAATAGGGGTATAGGCGCCCCAAAATGCATAGACTAGTTTCTGTAATAATCATCAAGTTCAAACTAGCATCTGACCTGACTGGATATTGCACAATATTGTGTAATACTTCGACAATATATATATATATATATATATATATATATATATATATATATATATATATATATATATATATATATATATATAAAAAATAAAAACACTAATATTCCATGGTTATAATTTATTACATTGTAAATACAGTCAATTCATCAGACCTACAAATTTAAAATGAATTGGAGCGTATTTTCGATTCCATGTAATAAATTACAACCATGGAATATTACGGATTAAGCCATTTTATTATAATCTTACTCTGTCCTGGATATTGAGTTCTGCCTGGATTCTATCCTCTTTGAATTTTTTTTATATATATTTGTATATGTATGTACGTATATGTATGTATTTATATATTTTATATATATATGTATATGTGTATACTAACCACTAATAATATATATATATATATATATATATATATATATATATATATATATATATATATATATATATATATATATATATATATATATATATATATATATATATATATGAACTTAAAAAAAGAATATTCTTTTTCGTTTTTTTGGCAAAGGATTGGCCGACATGTTTTACCGAGTTATCATTTTTCTCATTGAACTTGAGAGCACATGGCACAGTGGATAAAGGCGTCAGTTAGATCCAGTGACAGGACCCAAAGACAATGAGTTCAATACCCGGTTAAAGCAGTGGAGAATTTTCAGGAGATAACTGATAATTGGCATTCATTAGACATGGCACGTGGAACTAGAACCGTCTACTCCAGTGAGCAAAATAAAGGGTTCAGTTCAACATTCCAACTACCTAAAAAAGACCGGAGAGTACAACAGCCGAAATATTTCATAAATATGGCGACAAAGTCAAGGACAATAGTCTGAATAATGTAAATAATGGTTAGGTCTTATTGAAGCTTTTATAAGAACATCCAGAGACACCGAGAGAAATTTTTTCATGGTTCTACTAATGATTCAATGGTCTTTCTTGAAAATATTCAGAACTCTAACAGTGCATACCAGATTAACTATTTGGGTGCTAAGATTATTCGTGAGATAGGATTTAAGCCTACATTTAAAGTCCAAAGGCAAGTGCCTCACTGTATTGGATCTTTAT